CCTACTGGATGGCAAAGGCGATGTCGGGTCTGGTCATTGTCAGATACTGAAGGGCACCCGCTAGACTGCGGTAGGAGTGCGCATCGTCGACAGCAAGACCATCGGTTGCAAGCTTGCCTTTGGCGTCGATCGGCGTGGCAACTGGCTTGCAGGAAGTCATGCCAGCACGCTCGAGAATGTCCTCAGCATACCGGTCTTGAGTGAGATAGAAGCCTTCTGTTGTGCGCTTCACATCAATGCCGAGGAAAAAGTTGAGAGTGCCCATGTCTCGAATAGCAAACTCGGAGCGGAGCTTGTCAACAATGTGACAGAGTAGAACAGAGCTAGAGCCGATAAGCACGATATCGTCGACATAAAGAAGAAGGTAGGCAGTGTTTGCTCCTCGGTGAAGAACAAAGAGGGAGGAATCGGAACGAGCAGCCCGGAAACAGAGCTGGATGACAAACGCTGCAAACCTGGTGTACCAGGCGCACGGAGCCTGTTTCAAGCCGTAGAGAGATTTGTCGAGTAGGCATACTACTTCCGGGCGAGTAGCATCAACAAACCTGGGAGGTTGTTGACAGAGGACGTGTTCCTGAAGATGACCGTGAAGAAAAACATTGGAGACATCTAGCTGTTTAGTTGGCCAGCACCGCGAAGCCGCGATGGTGAGAACAGTCCTGATGGTGGCCGGTTTCACCACCGGAGAGAAGGTTTCCCCAAAATCGACACCGGCCCGCTGAGTGAATCCCCGAACAACCCAATGTGCCTTGTATCGTTCCAGTGATCCATCTGGATTCAACTTGTGTTTAAAGATCCATTTCCCGGTGACAATGTTTGCGCCTGGAGGACGATCAACGAGGCGCCAGGTGCGATTGCGCAGAAGGGCTTCATGTTCGGCAGCCATGGCATGGCGCCAGTTCAGATCTTGCAATGCTGCCTGAACAGATTTTGGGATTGGTGAAATCGTGGAGGAATCGGTGGAGTGTTCACTGGTAAGGGCATATTTGGGTTGGGTTTATAAATGCCGGCGCGGGATCGCGTCTGCATAGGGTGTCCAGAGGGAACGGGAGCTGGAATGGCATGGCTGGTACCCGAAGGTGGTGGAGATGGTGACGTAGTCAAAGACGAGGTGGGAGGAGAGGTAGAGGTTGAAGATGTGGTAGGACGTGGTGATGATGATGGATTAGGGGTTGAAGATGTGGTAGAATGTGGTGATGATGATGGACTATTGGTGGCGGAATCGTTTGTGGTAGCGGGCGACGGCGCAGGAGCAGGAGGATGCTGCTGAATGTGAATGGTGTCGTCGGTGTCTACTGTAGCCGGTTTGTCTATTGTCGGATTTGGTTCAGAGGCCATGGAAAGAAAGGGAAATCGGGTTTCGTCAAAAGTGACGTGGCGCGATGTGATCACACGGCGCGTCTGAAGATCCAAGCAGCGATACCCACGGTGGTCTTGGGGATATCCGAGGAGCACGCAAGGGGTGGAGCGCGCGCTGAGCTTGTCAGGTATGGTTGACGACTGGTTTGGGAAACAAAGGCAACCGAAAACATGTAGGTGAGCATAGCTCGGTGGGGCGCCAAGAAGAAGTTCATGGGGGGTGGATCGACCACTTGTACGACAAGGGCGTCGATTGATCAAATGTGTGGCAGTCAAAAGTGCCTCGACCCAGTATGATGGGGCGAGCCAAAGATGAAGAAGCGAGCTGCGGACGCAGATCATTGAGGGTGCGGATGATGCGTTCGCCTTGCCGCTCGGGAAGATGTATAGGGACAAGAGAGACGGAGGACAATGCCGTGTTTTTCACAGTGGCTGCGTAAGGCATGGTTATCGAATTCCCTACCGTTGTCAGTCTAAAAGGCAAGAAGAGGAAGACTGAATCGGTCTCGAACATGGGCGTGGAAGACCACCGACAATGAAAAACATCAGATTTTGCACACAAAGGGGAAGGTCCAAATGTAATGAGTGTAATCATCAATCAATACCGGTAGTATTTGAATCCAGAAAAGCTAGAAATAGGTGATGTCCAAACATCAGCATGCACAATTTGGAAAGGAACATAGCTGACTAAAGAAGATGAAGTAAAAGGCAGCCTAACATGCTTGCCAAGTCGACGGCTATCATCATGATGGCGCTAGTTTACTAGGAACAAATTCGAGATAACTCAAGGTGTGCTGGAGGGTGCGACGTCCTGGATGACCAAGCCGTTGATGCCACAAATCGACGGTGGGTGCCAAGGTGACGAGTGCCTCTATGGACGGAGGATGCAGAGGCAAAGGGTAAAGGTCGCCATGGCTATTACATCGGAGGAGCACCGTTTGTGTTGGAAGATCCTTGATAGAAAAACCAAAAGGGTCAAATTCAACACTAACATTGTTGTCCCTAGTAAGGCTACGAACAGAAATGAGATTTTTGACGAGAGAGGGTGACACAAGAACATCGTTGAGTTTGAGTGGAGATTGAGAGGTGGGGATCACAGTGGAGGCACGATGAGTGACGGGCATGGTCGTGCCATTGCCGACGGTGATGGGCGGAGAGTTGAGAACAGGTTGGGGGGAAGGGAAATTACCAGCATTTGATGACATGTGAGACGAGGCGCCTGTGTCGAGGAACCACTCGGTGGTGTGAGGCCCCGTCGGAGGAACGTTCGCTGTGGCCAGAGCAGCGAGGAGGGCCTCATGGTTCCAAACATCTTGTGTTGGCGAGGAGGCATTGTAGGCGCCGGGATCCGGTGGCGCCTGACCGGTGAAGTAGGCCTGATGAGAAGGTGTGCCTGGACGGGGACCGAGTACACCGGCGCCAGGTGCCCGGAACGGCATCTGCCACGCCTGGTGTCCAAGCCGACGGACCACGGGGAGCGGAGGAGTTGCCACCTTGGTGTTGCTGGTTGTAGCCACGGTCACGACCGCGGCCACGCCCGCGCCCACGGCCGCCCTTGGTGTTGTAGCGAGGGGCCGATCCGCTGGTGATTGGCGGTGGCGGCTGAGCACTGCTGGATCCACCGTCGGAAGGAGCAAGTGGCTGGAGCCCGCGGTGTGACGAAGCGTCTTTGGCGGCGCAGGTCTTGGCGTGCTCCTTGTCGTACTGTTCCTCCAGGAGAAGGTAGGATCTCGCCGAAAGGAAGGTGTGCGGTGGTTGGCACGAGGTGATCGTTGGGATCGCGTGGCGGTACTTGGAACTAAGCCCGCGCAGCATGTTGAGGACTTGGCTCGTCTCGCGCACCGGCTGGCCGACGTCGTGGAGAGCATCGGCGAGCTGCTTGAGGCGCTGGTGTATTGGGTGATGTCCATGTCGCCGCACGCAGATTATGGAACTCCGCCTCGTACACGGTGATCATGCATTCGTTGTCGCGAAATTGCTCGCGGATGGCTCGCCAGATGCGGTACGCCGTAGCCTTGGTGCGTGGGCGATGTTGCGCACGCGTCCTTGGCGATGGAGATATAGAGAAACGATCGACGATGCACCGCGACGACGATCCGTCATCGGCGGAGATGAGATGTGGGAGACAAGATTGAACTTGCCGAGGAAAGCATCGAAGAAACAGCGCCACTCGTCATAGTTGGGATTGGCGAGTTCGAGGACGACAAGAACATGGGATTTTATGTTAACGGTTTGAAGGACGGTGACGGGAGGAGTAGGGACGGCGGAAATGGCGCTGGTGTAGGACAGGCCGTCGAGAGAGGAGTGGGAGGAGTCGCCGTCGGAACCGTCGGCATCGAAGAGAGGATTGAGGTCCATGAGGAGGGAGGAAGAAACGGAGGCAGCGGAGATGGGAAGGTGCCGGTGAGCTGGCCGCGGCGGGGGCGGCGAGCTGGCCGCGGCGGGGGCAGCGAGCGGTTTGATCAGGGATGAACCTGGTCAGCTGATACCATGTAGAAAGATGGAATTGGGCCAACAGACGATTCCATTGATCTATCTTTGGTTTATATATGTTACAACATGCGTTGCTCATTTGGCAACCGCTAGTTTACATCGTGGGCGAGTGGATGCCCGCGCCATGCACGTGGCCATTGTGTTCCGTCTTCGGTCAGCAGCAACAGTTGGCGTGGCGACCCTGGCGGTGTCCCTCAACAGCTGCTAATAAAATCGTTTGTTGTCACCAAAAAAAAACACCCAGCGAAGCTCACCTTTTTGGCATTTACACTTCAAAACTCATCCGACATTCCGACATGCATGTATTGGTAGCCATTTTTAGCTGATGCGGCCTGCACATTCTTTTGGAATGATTGATCTGTTCCTGATCCAGTCCTCGCTGGCTGACAACGGACCAACCATTTGTTGAAGTGCCTGATGACACTTGCAGGAACACCAAGAAATGTGATTCGGTGATTCACCATCAACCATTTGGCTTGAAAGTCATCAACCACATTAATCATGTGCAAACATGTCCTGTCATGAACATTTGGTGACTGAACACATCGAGTCCTGGTAACCTGAACGGAATTATGAATTTGTGATGTCCTCTTGTTTCAGACTTTTTCACCTTTTTGTTGTAATATGTTCCATCTTCTGAATTAGTTGAAAGATTAACAAAAATCAACAGAACAAGGTAAAAAGAAGGTACGTTGCTCAGACAGCAACGAAATCAAAACCAATTCAGAAACGTGCTATACATTAATACTAAAATACAAGGACAACACTCGCTACTGATACACAACACTTAGCAGCTTAACAGTTAATACCCTAAGTGCACAATGATCTTATAAGCTACTTCCCTAACATAAATAAGCCAAAAGGAAATTAGTGCAGTACTCTACAAACAGTTCTGCCAGCTCATACCAAACCTACCATCTAATGATGAACTCCCCACAAGTACTAATCCCATCGTTCAACCAGATTCCCATTAAATTTGCAACCTACCTGCTCACAACGCACCCTACAAAATCAGGAGAGCACCAGCAGACGAAATCATTGTTAAGAAGTGTGTGAATATCTTTGTCTCAACACTCAGCAGTAGTTAGTTAGAGACGAGAATGGTTCCAGAAAGACGAGCACGAACTGCAGATCAAACACATGCTTTCCTAGTCGAGTGGCTTCGATGATTGCACGTTGGGGTTGCAAGCTTTCTGATTAGAACGGTTCTTGACAAGTGGAACCAGCGATTGGACAACATCAGCCATTAATGGCCTATAGTCAGCCTCTGGTTGAACACACATGGCAGCAATAGCAGCCACTTGGACAGCATCTTTCAAGGAATATTGACCTTCCAATGCTGGATCCAAGATCCGCACAACTTTTTCTCGGTCAGTGAGCATAGGTAATGCCTGCAGTAATTCAACAAGAGACAGGTTATATATATGATGAATGTTCAACTATCATGACACAAGCTGATGTTTTCCAACCAAGTACAAGGAAGAGAAGCAGGTCCATTCTAATTAATACATGTCATGACTTTGTACATGAAAAATCAAAGCATAGGAGCAAAGACAATTGAAGTTCTATGACAGCAAGGAACTGAAGTACATGTTCTCATTGAAGAGCTGAAGAACATGCAAATATCCAATTTGCTCATCATAATCACCTAAACTTTTTGCGGTTATCACCTAAACTTTTTGCAGTTGAAGGAGACACTGTTGTATAGTCAATACTAATTTTATATTAACAACTAAACACATCCATTAACGTTATTATGATTCATGATGGCAGAAGGAAACAGCTCAAAGCAAAGCTATATTAATCAGTAACTTTTGACTTACCCAGTTAACTAAAACACCTTCTCCAGGAGGCCTCTTCATATCAACTGGTACTCTGCCAGTAAGCAATTCCAAAAGCACAACACCGTAACTGTACACATCTGATTTGGTAGTCAAATGCCCAGTCAATGCGTATCTACACAGATTTGTAGTATGTGCATCATATTAGACAGTATAACAGTTCTTTAGAACACAAAAGTGATTGAGCAAATGACAGGCCAATATCAAACTTATGACCTTGCACAATGGATTTAGTAAGTAGTTAAGTCTATAAAAAGTAATAAAAGAACATTAGCCTGATCTTACTCTGGTGCAACATAGCCTTGTGTGCCCAAAACTCGAGTTGAGACATGACCACCAGCCCTATCAGATCCAAGTTTGGCTAGACCAAAGTCTGAAACTCTTGCATGGAAGTCTTTGTCCAGGAGAATATTGCTACTCTTGAAGTCTCTGTGTATAACAGGTGGATTAACACGCTCATGAAGATATTCCAAACCTTTGGCTGCTTCAAGTGCAATTTTCATTCTTGTGTCCCAGTCCAATTTTGAGATTCCACCACAGGAACCTAGAACAATGTTTTAGAACTATCAGTTGGCAAAAACAATATGTCTTAGAAATAGTGTCAGTACCCAAGCTACCCGCTGTGTTAAGTGGTAGGAAGACATTTCAGCCAACTTCACATTTACATATCAACCTAAAAAAGGTTATTTACTTCCATAATTGAATGTGGCAATTCTCCAGATTCACATTTATAATATGCCAACTACCAGTAAGCTTAGTATCTACACTGGTAATTATTTTCACTTTGTATATTAGCAAATTACCAACAAGAAGCACAACATAATAAAAGTACATAACCTTCTATTGCTCATATCTTCTATCAGACGGTTAAAGCACACACTGATGCTTTTGGGCATTATCAACGAGGTAAGTCTGGAGCATTTATCGATTGAAAAGCAGTGACGGGTTTACCATCTTGTTGACACTAAAAAATGACATATGCACAAAATAAATGCACAAAAACAATAGATTTGGACAATACAAAATGCCTATACCTCTGTTTGGATAGAGATGCTCCTGGAGACCCCCATTGGCCATGAACTCATATACCAGTAGACGGTGTCCACCTTCCGAACAATGGCCAATCAGGCCCAATAAATACGGCGATCGGAGCCTACTCAGCAACTCCACCTACAAAACATGACGTGTTCAGAAACACTGAAAAAGTTGCAGGCGAAATTTTCAGTCCATTCACACTATGTCAACCATCAAGAATGGGATAGACCTGTTGAAATCAGATTTCAGCTCCGGCTCCGGCTCCCCAGAAGCCCTGGGAAACGTTTTTTCTTGGAAGAGCTTTTTTTCAAGAAAAAAAGCCAGAGCCGGCTGAAACAAACAGCCTAGCTATTGAGCTGCCTTTGGAAAAGCTGGCCTATGAGAAAATGGACTAAAAGCTGAAAAGCATGCTGAGAGGAGTTTTTCTGGCTTTTGGTGTTCTGAGAAGCTAAACAATTATTACAAAAGTCAATAGCAAAAAATTAACAAGTAGAAGCCAAAAAACCAAAAGCTGCAGCTCAAACCAACAGGCCCGTAGCGTGGCTGATAAAACAACAGAGTTCAGTCATAAATTTGCTCTTTATGTCAATTTTCTGCATATACTTCCATTCCTATAGCCAGCACAGGAGTAGCTGCTAACCTAACACATAAAAATTGTGTTCGTCTCACAGCTTGGCATGTCTTACTTGCTGGTTACTGAGTTCAAACACACTACCTGTTGCCAAATCTGGTATTTCTTATCAGATGCCAAGCCTGTGTGTGCCCTATCCCTATTGCAAGGTAATCGTTTTCTAGCTGTTGATTTGTTGCTATCCCCATGGCTAAATTGGGGATATGTTAAGTATTGGCGGAACCGAGTGGCTGCTTGTCTTCCTATTTCCACTTGAGTAACTAGCTGTCTACTTGTCTAGCATAGTGCATACATGAGGATATCGAAATAACTGTGCAGTTACATCCAACAACAGAGCATTGACGGAAGCAGGACTGGGAAGTTATATTTCACCCAGTCCACTCCAAATCTGTTTCGATTTGACCAACATCTTGCTAAAGTGAAAATGGTCACACTACCCTCATGCCAGAAAAAGACTACAAAGTTATCCATGAACTAATAAGAACTAGGTGCTTCACATACATGCTTAGTTGCTTACCAACCATTACTATTACTACAACTAAATAAACACTGCAACGAGTTGATACAGCATGTTCGCTTGTTGGTTTCAGCCAGGGCTTGGTACAGTGTTTTCCTCTCCCAACAAACCAGAACACGGGCTTATCAACCCACAAACTCACAAAATCCCAAATAATCCAGCCGAAGTTAAAAACATACACCTCACCTCCACACGAGAAATTTTGTGGAGACCAAATTTTACAGTTAGTAAACAGTAGAGAACTTCGCACTTACCATCACACAAAGTGACTGCTCCATTTTTAGAAAGAGGGTATGATCTTTATCTTTAAGTAAGTAAACAACCACGGAAACCCCCAACCCACAGTGACCCCATTTGCACTCAGGAAACCCACAAATGTCTCCGCTTGGACCGCAGAGCTTCACCGAGCCCAAGCCGCAATGACCAGATCCAGTAGTTACCAACTTGGGGGAACACGCTACAGGACGCGGTGAATGCTGTCCCAGCCCCAAACCCAGCACATGGAAACACCCGCATTCGGCGCTGAGTAGCAAGGATCCAAAATGCACAAATGTCAGTAATTGTTTTTACCTCCATCTCGAACTCCTCTTCGCCCTGCTTCCCTGGGCGGTCCATGAGCTTGACCGCGACCTTCCTCCCGTCGGGGAGCACCCCGCGGTACACGGCCCCGAAGCTGCCCTGCCCAACCATGTGCGCCCGGCCGAACCCGCCTGTGGCCGCGTGGAGGTGCCGGTAGCTGAACACCTGCACGCCCCTCTCCCCAGCAACCACCACCGACAACGCCGCCGCCGCCGCCGCCCCGCCCCCGTCGCTGGCGGAGTTGCTGGACGGGCTGTCCTTCCCCTGCTGCTGCGGCGGCGGGGCCCGGGGAGGAGGCGGAGGAGGGGAGCTGGAACGCTTGGGGAGATGGAGCGAGTGGAGGCGGCGGGAGACCTTGCGCGTAATGTAGCAGTAGTAGGCGAAGGCCGCGATGAGGGAGAGGAGCGAGAGCGCGGCGAGGGAGACGATGACCAGCAGGGTCACTGACTCCTGGCGCTTGTACTCGTCGCCGCCGTCCGTCATTGGGTCGCTGGAACCCTAGTTCGAGGGGTTGCCGGGTTCGGAGAGGAGAGATCAAGCGAGTGTGAGTGATTTGGAGGAAGACGACGAGGGTTTTTGGGGCGGTTTGGGAGTGGAATGGGTGATTCACCTCACCTTCCTCTGCGCGGAAAAGTGCAATGGGTAATTCATTTCCTCTGCGCGGAACCCGAGGTCGGGGATAGCCAGCAGTGGGGTGGGCAGCGGGCTCACTGGTCAGCCGGGTCCAGAAGCAGTGCAACGTGTACCAACGGAACTATGGAATTGCTTGCGGCACCGTCAACAAAAAGACAAAAGAATAGAGTAATTTAATAATAGGAGTACATTTCCAATAGTTTAAAAAAATTAGTAAACTAATGAGTTTTCATGTAACTAAAAAAGTAAGGACCATATTTATTGAGTTCCTTCAATAATATAGAAGACAATTTGTATTAAAAATCTCATACTATTTCTAAATAACTCAACTGATTTTATATTTTCTTTCTCTCTTGTATACTTATATTGGGAATTTGTTCTAGTTTTTATTCTTCTCACCTCCTTGCACTTCCATATTGGCCAAGAGCACTTGGTTTGCAAATTGAAGAGCAGCTTGTATGGTTTGAAGCAAGCTCCTCAACAACAATACAAGAAAGCTTGAGTCTTTTATGACAAAGCATAGGACGATCATTGTGTTTTTATGAAGAGGTATGGCGAGGGTGGTTTTATAATCCTCTTGCTTTAGTTGATGATATGTTGATGGTAGGAACTAGCACAAAAAGAATTGTTCTCCCGAAGAAGGCATTGAGCAAGTCATTTGCCATGAAGGATTTGGGACCGGCAAAACAAATACTTGGTATGAGGATCTCCCATGATAAACAAGAAGCTTTGGCTATCACATGAATCATATATTGAGAAGGTACTAGAAAGGTTTAATATACAAAGTGCAAAACCAGTTAACTCTCCACTTGTAGGACATCACAAACTGAGTGCAAGTCAGTGTCCTACAAGCACAAAAGGAAAAATAAGCAATGAAGAAAGTACCATACCAATCTGTTATAGGCAGTTTGATGTATGTCATGGTGTGCACTAGGCCTGATATTGCTTATGCAGTCGTGGTTGTGTAGCAGAACCGCCTGAAATAACGCGCTTACGGAGACGCTTGTCTTCCACTAGACACTAAGCACCCCGAGAACGAGCTACATCGGGCGGATTCCATCGAGCACACCCCAAGGGAGAGCCCGAATAATCCACATTTTTCCCAAGGATCCAATAATGAGAACGAGTTACAATACTTAGTCCATTTCATACATCTAGAATTCTTGAAAGATATATTATTACAGTACCAAATTCAGAGTGTGGAAATTAACAGCGGAATGAAAAGAAACATCTATCGATAATACACAAGGATCTATCTGTGCCCACCAGAAGAATCCTTCACACAATGGCTACTCCTTAAGCAGTACCTGCAATAGGGGTAAATAAACCCTGAGTACACAATGTACTCGCAAGACTTATCCGACTAGTGTGAATAATTTTTCGACTCCAAGGAATATGGTAACAATTATGGTTTGCTGGGTTTTCCTTTTGTTATTTATGTTATTATTAGCGGTCATAATTATTTCATTATCTAGCCATTCTATGTAAGCGCATGTTCTACTTTCAAGCAGGAGTTGAGCAAACAGTTCCATTTCACCACCTTTCATCTTTCAGTTCTTACTACAATGCTAGAGTATAGACAAGTCGTACTGACAAGGCGGTGATTCGCGAATCAATGAGCCTAGCTGGGTACCCTGAAATACACGCCCCGCTTGTACCCCAGACACAAGCAGGACCAACCACCACTCTCCTGTCATGGGGTCTAGGTCTCCGTCCAAACGTGGACTCCAAGCCCCCGCTCCTGAATCCCGGACTCAGTGCGGTGCTTAGACCTCCACCATCCCTGCCTCCAATCAGTCGGTCCGGAAAGAGCCGGAACCCACGATAAGAGAGCAACAAGTCTTCTCTGCGCCCATACCCAAGTATGTGCTCGGGATAATAAATCTGTGACTTGCCTAGAGTCTGTTGCAACGGTCGGTCCTTAACCCACACAGACAGGGAAAAAGTGTAACCAAGTTATGCCTCATTGGTCACATGACACAACCTCTTGCACCCACCAATACCCAAACCATATCCCTGCCCGGTCTCCATTTTCCTTTCCACCATTTTATCAGAAGTGATCATAATAATAATCACCTATTGTGAGTAACAACAGGTTACTCACGCTACCGACATCCTGAGCATCGCAGCTACTCAACCTATACTAGTAGGACTCATAGATAGGTATATTTATGTATGTAGTTTCCATAAAATACCTGTAATGTAAATGCACATCATATATATATTCTGTGATCATTAAAAATAAGGGTTATGCACCGAGGCTTGCCTTGGGCAAGCGGGGTGTCAACAAGGTCAGCAACTGATACCTCCAGGGCTCCCTCTTGAACGAGAATCTCCTCCTCGTACTCTTCAATGATCTCCTTATACTCCTGTTTGCCCGCAGACACGAACTCTACCAACTCGTTATCTACATGCATGAAATGATGATGCAACACTTAGTAATACGGCAACAACAACTCTTAAAATAAAATACATCTATCAAACTACTAAGCTAGCTCTACCGACTAAGATGCTAAGTTGCCTATCATTTCCACTAAATAAGTATGAAACACTTCATGTATTAACTTAGCAACTAAAGGTATCCATATTCTTAATATTGATTTACTCTATATATGGTAAATCAAGAGTACTAGCTACTCTATTTATTAACCTACTCTAGGGCTACAAAAATTATAGTAAGCACATAATAATCTAATAAACCTACTGTAAAAATTTCATGGCTAAAGCTATCACCAATTTACCACCAAAATTCCTACAAATATTAAGCTAAATAATACTAATCTTTCCTAAATAAATTAATGAATCTATCATTATCACAGCTAACTATAAACTAACTACACCAACAGATAGATAACATTTTGTGAATCTAACAAATTTTGTTTCACTATTTTTTGATACCTACAACATTTACTATCATTTTCCAAAGATCAGCTCATAATACAATTTAGAAAAGCATCTACTAATTCCCTGGAAAAAGAAAACTGAATTCAATCCGTAGCCCACTAACTCGTGGTGCGGTCCATGTCCGTGCAGCGCGCGTGCGCATGCGTAGCCCACCGGCACGGCCCACGCCGGCGCGGCCCAACCGCGCGACAGCGGCCCGCGATGGGAAGGTCCACGTGCCTCGGCTGTTTTGCGAAAACGTCCTTGACCTACCGGTGAATCACCCTGAGACCCATGACACTATTCCTACAGTCAGCTATTTTATAGATAAACCCTTAGGACAAAGTGCCTTTACCATGGCCACGTCCTCGGCCACCCGCGTGCACTCCGGCACGGCGGCGCTGGCATAGGGCGGTCATGCCGGCCAGCCTAGCCCCTCCCCGCCCCCAATAGCGAGCCGATGTTCACCTTGAAGCGAACGCGAGGCGATGGGCGGTGAAGCAGTGAATAGAGACGTGGTTCTAAGCTCCCTCCACGGTGACGGGCCTCCTGTAGCGGTGGCGGCCACGTTCTCATGAGCTCAGGCACAACCGAGAAGAAAAGACTAGAGGATGGGCATCAGCAACTCTCCTAGAACCTACCATACGTGATGGCTTGACCGAGAATGGGTCGAGTGAGTACGGCCATGCGCGCACGGCAAGCACAGCGACGGCCACGGTGGAGCGACCACGTCAACGGCGCTAGGCAGGCAGTAGCAGTGCAACTTGAGGTGCGCATGGGGTGAAGGACTGCGAGGCGAGGCTAGGGGTGCAACCAATTGGACTCAGGAGGACCCGGCGGGTACTGCCCTCAACAATGACGTCTAAGCCATTAATGGCGCGACGACGGGCGCTAGCTCCAAATTGGAGCTTGCCAAGGTATGATGCTACACGGTGCGGGGCCGGTTGGCTAGCTGGCTAGAAGATGGAGCCGAATGCGCGTTGAATTGAAAGGATGGGACCTCACCGTGCCGAAATGAAGATGCGGCCAGGGTGGCCCGACAGCAGAGGAAGGAGGGGAAAAGAAGGGATTGGGGTCTGGCTGCTGGCCCGAGACTTGGCGGGATGTGACGACCGCACCTGAGCAGTCATTGCGAGCCAGTATAGCCAGGAGAGGGGGCACACCCACGTGCAGGCGATGGCAGCACAGCCGTGCGGTCGTGGCGCCATTAATGGCGAATGACAAGTGGTGGCCTCAGCAGGGCCATGTGCACTAAATTGCGACGGCAGCGACGCAAAGGCACAGGCTAACACGACGGTGACAACGCGGCGCAGCATGGTGATGGTACGGTGGTGGCACAACAGCATAGGCACACACAACGCAACACTGTGGCGCGGCGATGACCTGGCGAGGCAGGCGACCAGACAGCAGCGGGCCAGCTAGGGCATCGGGCCCGCCGAGCGCGGCGGTGCACGGCGTGGGAGTGTACATGCTCTGGTCGTGCAACATGGCCTGGCGCGCCAGCGGCGATGCAGAGCCAGCATGACGGTGCCAGGTGGAGCAAAGCCTGCATGGAGCAATGCGAGCAGCCACCAGAGCATCAGCAGCGACGTCAGCGGCAGCGCGCAATGCAGCAGTGGGGAGGAGCAGTTGCGCGCCTGGGCAGCCAAACACTGGGACCAGCCAGGCGTGGCTAGACATGTGTGCGCGCGCGGCCTGCACGCTTTTTAAAGCATCCAAAAAAACCAATTCGATGATTCAATTGCTAAACCACCTATTTCATACTCGAGAGGGCATGTTAAACTACTAAAACAAGCCCTAATACCCCATCACACCTTAACCCGATTATTCTACAAAAATTGTCAAACTTAGCCTTGTCAAACCACTTTTCAAACTTACGAAAATCGACTAAGTCCTGATCGGATTCGCGTCAAACTCGATTTCCAAGCTATTCGGTATACTAGCTAGCAAATTCCCTTTGCGACCTC